CATACTAGCCAGTATGTGGCAGAGCTGAGATTTGCACCCAGACCTCAGGTTCAGGTTCTATGCTCCTAATGCTACCTAAGCTGCCAGGCAGGTTTCCTGCGGGAACATCAGGCAGATGAAAAGGTGGGCGGGCTGTTGAGAAACACTGGAGTGGTGACCCTCTCTGCGAAACTTAAATGATACAGTGAGCAACAGGATCCTTATTCATGTTGCTTTCATCAAAGAAATTTAGGATATTTCATCCATTTCAAAATTTTTTGAATAAAAGGTGCTACACACATTTATTTCTGAGAATGGGTATAATACACCATCATCAAACTGGTTTTTGCTGAATAATCTGTTCCTGAACAGAATAAATCAATAACTGCACTGATTTCCAATTTATGAGATGAATATTTAAACAGCACTATTTCTGGTCATGTCATTTTCAAGGATATTGTTGGTTCCATCCAACTCAAATATTCTTTCTCAGAAATCTTGGGATGGCCGATCCTTCATCAGCTTGTGCTAAACAGTGCTTCTTCCGAGTGGGGTCCCAGAGCACAAGCACCCCAGGAGTTAGCAGAAAGCCTGCCTCCTCTTCCCCTCCTCTCCTACCCCCAGTATTTGCATCCACTAATGATTCAGGCGCCTCCCTGGTGCTGGGGAGGAGGTGTTTCCTTTTCAAGCCCAAAGGGCTGAGACTGCTAGAACATGACATTCCTTCCTCTCTTGGGTTCAAGTTGAAAACTCTGCACCTACTACCCCAAACCTTGGTTGCTTTTGACAACACCCTCTGTAGCTGCTGCTCTGCGGTGCAGAGGCTTAGGGCTGCAGCTGCAAACCAGAGCCCAGGAGATGCCTCCTTCTCTGGGGATCAGATCCGGGAGGCACAACTTTTAAAATATGGGCAGTGGAGAGAGATGCAACATCCCTGGGCCATAAGGCTTTTGCTTCCTTTGCCTTACTCCTCACCAGAAGCCTGAGGGTTTTTCCTGAAAAATATCCCCCTCCCATCCCAAACTTGGGTAGATGCACCTCAAGTTAAGTCTCCTGGCCTGTTCTTGTCCTGGAGCAGATCCCTGCACAGGCTGCTGAGATCGTGCCTTCCCGCCCTGATCCACGGAGCCAAGAACTCAGCACTGAACATGACAACTTTTTGGTCTCTCTTCTATGGCCGTTTCCTTCCTGAAGACCCTTCTGTTCCCATGCAAAAGCGACTGGTTCCTCTGCAGCCGCCTGGAGCCTGGTGTGCCAGGAGGGGAGCCACAGGCCCTCCACCCACAGTTAGAACTGAGGCCTGGTTCAGCCACTGCTCTCTGCCCTCTGTCACTGAGCTTATGGAAGTTCTCAGCAGCATGCTGGTGATGGTGGTGATGAGTGTCCGCGTTCAGGAGTGTGTATTTGTTGTGCACATAACTAGCACTCAATGAATGACCCTACAATTCACAAGATAATTGTAAAAGTTTTAAATATACCTCACATCCTTACACATTTCTGTGAGTTAGTACTATTATTATCTCCATTTGACAAATTTTGAAACTGAGTCTATGTGTGGTGAAGTATTTTGCCCAAGCCCATACAGCCAATAAGGGTCAGATCTTTGAAGGTCAAGTTAAGAGTCACAAGTGTCACCTTCAGGCCTGGACCCTAAAATTATCCACAGCATGACTACATGTAATCAATGCCTAATAATAAATCTTGTAGATGCTGATGTATTTCAAGAGACAATTAGCTTTGGCAAGCCTCCTTCCTTCCTGCCTTTCTTCCTTCTTTCCTTTCTGCTTTCCAGTCGGCCTGCCTTCATTCCATCAGCCTTTATATAGCCTGCCACAGGCCAAGCACCAGGCTGTGTCCTGGGCACACAAGAAGCAGCAAGACCCAGGCCCAGCCCAGCAAAGCTTAAGGTCTGGGAGCAGAAGCCAGGTGTGAAAGTAAGTTTCCACAAGAAGCCCTGAGTTTCGCCTCCTAGTGGGATGCAGAGAGGGATGTTAGCCCATACATTGCACTCCACACTCCCCCCTGTGTACGGGAAGGTGCTGTCCACATTCCCTCCAGGTAAGAAATTTAAGGAGTTCAATAGCTGAACTCCTACTGCCCTTATAGTCAGTGTGACACTCACTCAACTATCCTGACACGGACTCATGTTTTCAACCCAACAGATCACCCGTTTTAAGGGAGAAACAAGAAATCTACATTTTGAACTTAAACAGCTGTATGATCTTAATTTTTCTGACCCTCAGTTTCTTTATTTTATAATAAAAAAAAAAAGAAAGAAAGAAAAGAGGGGAAAGGAGGAATAACAATACCTGCCCTGGCAGAGATGCTATAGCATCAAATAAAGTTATAATGCAGGAATAACTGGACGAAATATAATGTAAATGTTATGCTCTTAACATGGACTTTAAAGCTCTGAGTAATGATGCTGCCCCACCTTCCCCTCCACAGGGGCCCACATGCGTGCTCCAGTTGTAGTTGTAACTATACAGTTCTGCCTTGAAGACCCTCAACTCACCTGCTCCCATGCCTTTACTTACACTCCTTACACTGCCAGGAATACCTTCTCCCCATCACTGTCTCTGACTTGCTTCCTTGCTCAAATGTCATCTCTGTTCTAAAATATGCCCCTTTCCTCCTTTGCACTGTTAAAAGTTGTGCATCTCTCACAAAATCACACTCAGCACCATGAGTAGAGCTAGCTGTGTTGTCTATTAGGCTTCTCTGCCTAGATATGCCTTACCTATGTTCAATGAAATGTTTGTTAACTCAAATTCTGCTTCTCTTCTCTATGCCCTTCCTGCCTGCTCCCAACACCCTGCCCCCACTGCATCACTGGCACATAGCAGTTATGCAGGGCATTCGTTCTGAGGAGCTTGGGAGCTGGAAAATTCAATGGACAGGTCTCCCCAGGTCAAGGAAAATCAATCTTCCACTTTTTCTTAAGTCAGACATCACAGGGAAGGTGTGAAGCTTAGCTATTCCCTGTTGGGTGGGGATCAGAACCCGTCTCCCCAAATGAAGACTCTGAACTGGTGGAGATACCCAGATGATTTCAGGTGACATACAGTGAACTTTTTTTTTCAAATTTAATATTTTATAATCTTATCTTTATTGAAAAGAAATATAATTAGCATATCAAACCTATGATTTCATAAATATTCTTTAATAAAAGAATATTTGAATAAATATTTTTATTCAAATGCTCTTGCGTTTGAATAGAAATGAGTTGATTTAAAGGACAACATTATGTAAAGAATGATATAGGATATGGCCAAATGGTCTGCTGGGGGTGCTCCAAGCTCAGGGAGCCTTGGGGACAGAGAAAATGCTTCTGGGAGGTGGGGTTGAGAGTGAGGAGATGCCTGTTCTATGGGTCAGATCTGCTGTAAGTGGCCTCAGGAAGGAATGGAACTATTTACAAAACTGTGTTACTGTACAAAAACCTTTGTTTGAAAGGCAGAATGTAAATGCAGTGTTCTCTCATTGCTATTGTTCTTTCACTGGAATGAAAAACTATGCTGTTGCATGTCAAGTCATGCGATTAGCTTTGCAGCCTTAAGCACAGCGTTTCATAATGGCCGTGGGATTTTATACCCTTTCCCAGGACTGGCAGATACAAAGGACCCAAATATGAATTTGCTTTTTTCCCTTTTATTCTGCAAGGCACAACACTTTACAAAAAGAAAAACACTTCAAAGGCAATCCTTTTCCCGCATACCTTTCAGGGCTCCATTCAAGATTCATATTAATCTTACCCAATTACATGATCAAAGCAGAAGTGTTTGGCCTACTTCAGTGGTTTAAAAACATCCAGGGAAAAACTAGGAACATTTCAAGCTACTTATTTTTATGCCACACATCTTCTTGTAGGAGAATTGGAATCCACTTCCCCGTTCTCTCTTAACTAGTTTCCAGGCACAAAAAGTCAGGTGAGAGACCTGCTTTAATTATCCGAGCCATAAAAGATTCAGTTACGTCTCTGTAAAATCCAATCTCATCTCAAATAGTGCGTCTAGTATACTATCTGCTCTCCACAATACTACAAATTCCCTTCCAGAACCCCCTGAGAAACTTGATTTTTTTTCTGATTAGTTTTAAAGACCTCTTATTAAAATTAAAACTGCAAAAAAACCCCACCAAATCTGAAATGTTACTTCCTTAGGTACCCCACACTACTGGTTCTAGCCTATCCATTTTAATGCTATGATATGAAGTTGACATTTTCTAAAATAAAACACACCTTGTCCTTCATATTAACACTCTGAGATTTGAGGTCCTGGCTAAAAAAAAAGCGCAAATATAACATACTTAAAAATATTTACGTGAACCCACTGCCTACTGGTGAATTAATTTTTCTCTATGGAAGTAAATCTGTTGGCAGCCACCAGAATGGGGTATAAAAGATGACCTCGGCAGCTGCTGCCATTTGTTTCACTGGGAAAATGAGGGTTTTGTCTCTCCCCAGGGGTTAATTCTGTGATGCTCTCTTCTGGGCTCTGTCTCTGAAGGGTTACACTGGAGAGGAGGAATGCTTTGTGGTTTATGACAGGATCACAGCAGAATATTTTGTACACGGTATGATTTGTATCACCCATTTGTGCACAGGCCATAAAAGTGCACTTTTTATCAGGAACATTTGTGAATATATAACAGCACTGAAGACATATGGCCACTAAATAATTCACAGTTATCTATCTCCTCAGCATATTCCTTGTACACCTACCATGTTTTAATGCCTAGTTTGCTCAGAAACAATATTCTTTATGACCCTTCCAGTATAAACATGTTTACTGACTGGCAGCAAATTATGGCTATTACGGAATGGGGCTGCACGGAAGGGGAAGGCTTTTAGCTGTCTCCAGCTCTGCCATCCTCATCTGGTGCCCCTGAACTCTTCCAAGCAGCACCTAACCTTATAAAAGAAGGTGCCCTTCCCAAAAGTGGGTGTTAAATTCCGACCTCTAGTACTTGGGCTAAGAAATGGAAGTCCCTAACTAACCTTCACCCTCTTCTCTTTTCAGTTCTATATCCATGTACAGTCCCAAGGAGAATCCAAATGCATTTGATGCTGCAGCATTCTTCCAGTCCGTGGGGAATTTCCTGGGGATCTTCGCCAGCTCATTTGCCATGGGGTCTGCGTATGCTGTTGTCACAGCACTTATATCCTTTGTCTGTGTGGAAGGCTGGGAACTTTTAAGAGACGTTAATGTCTTTAGCATATTTCTGAAAATGGACAACCTCCATGCCCAAAAATGGCTAGATAGTCTGGCTCAAGCATGACACAATGCCACTGGGGCCATCTGAGTCATGCTGGAGGCACAGGTTGGTACCAGCGGCAGAGGGGCTCAGGCTCTTTTCTCATCCAAGGCCAGTTCTAGCACTAATGATAAAGTCTGATCCTAGGGTATCAACTGCCTTAAAAAATTACTACCTTTGGAAATAGGTGGAGAGGGGGCACCAGGATTGGCTGTTTTAGGGTCAAGAGGAACAACTGAAGAGTCAAGGTCAAGAACAAGACAGGATTGGCTGGAAGTCATAAACTAGGTGTTCTCTCCCTCCTTTTCAAGCTTGTATCAATCACCAGCTCACGGCGATGACCAAGCCAAAGATCACCATGGGTTTAAACAAGCATCCACAGCTAGTTTATGGAAGAGGAGCTGAGAGCAAGGCAGAAATAATGTCTGTCATATCTGGGCAATTGTGTCACCTCATTCCTTCTTTTGCAGCAGAGAGGTGGGGGATGGGTAGAATTCCTAGAGGATTTGATCCAGGGAATGAATCTGGCCTGGTGGGGTGTTCACTTAGAGCAGTTGGATAGGGCAAAAAGAAGTCAAAGTTGAGGAGGACAGCCAGAAGGCCAATGTCAAGTGTGAGAGTTTAACAAAAGCCACAGAGAAGAGGCAGAACAAAGGATAAAAAACTGAAGACCTTGAGGAAAAGAGAAGGAAGAAAGTGCAAGAGGGGCTGGATACCAGGCAAAGAAAAAAAAAGTTGGAGTCTTTTTCCATGGGAACTGGCACTAAGCAGCTGCTAAAAGTCTAGGGTCTACTAAGGGTTTCTAAGATATCATGATATGAGTAAAACATGGACCCTGCCTTCCACTAGTGACAAACTTGGAAACACAAGCTCTGCATAATAGCTAGATAGAAAGTAAGTGCCAAAGCCACAGCCAAATTATTAGGACTATGAAAATGAAATGAGGATGAGGACACTGAGTCTGAAATAGTCCAATAGAATCTTGGCCAACCTTATGATTCTGGAAAATAATTTGAGAAGCAGTATTTATATGCAGAGTTGGACTTGGGCTTGGCCTGAAAGATAGGTAGAATATAGGCAAAGGATGCATGATAAGTGACTCAAGAAAAGACCAGCACTCATTAAGAAGTGGGGATGGGACTGAGGTGGCGTGTGGCAGATGTGTGAGAGGACCAAGGGTTTGGCCTGGTGAGCAATGGAAGATGAGGGGACCCCAGTGGGATAGAGTGAGCTTGTGGAGAATCTCGGAGTGTTACTCAAAAGAGTTTCTGCTCAGGTGAGCGACACATTGAAAGTCTTGTTTTTAAAACATAAATGAGGAACTGGTATATAGGATGAATCATGGGAGGAGGATTAAATGCAAAGGAAACTGTGATAAACTGTGAGGGAAACATCAGAAAGAAGACCAATGTTTTGAATAATCCCTAGAATTTAATAGTTGGTTGGTTATAAGAGATAAAAAAGAATGGAGAATCAAAATCCACTCCAAAGTTTTGTCCTGAAAACCCAGGAGAATGTCAACTCCATTGACAGAAATAAAGTAAGTCAGAAAAGGTAGGCCAGATTTCTAACAAAAATAATGATTAATAATCCACCCAGTCCTTAACGATATGTCAGGACACCCATATTTGTTCAACACCCAATACCTCACTTGACCTTCATGAAAATCATGTCATACAGATATACCATTTTTTTGGGATACTGAAACTTAGAGAGGGTTACCTAGAGCCCAAGGTCATGCAGCTAGTAAGCAGAGCCAAGATTCAAACCCAGGGAGCAAAACCAAGAGAGAGACCACACTCCTGATCACTACTCCCTGTTGCCTCTTGTTATTAAGTGGGATTATGATGGAGGTCACGTGTTATTTAGAGTAGAGTAATAGTAATGATGATAACATTTAGTGAATGTCAGCATGTGCCAGGGCCTTTTCACGTATTTTCTCATTTGAATCAACACGGTAAGACAGGCTGTTATTAGCCTCACTTTACACATGAGGAAACTGAGGCTCAAGGAGGTTAAGTAGATCACTCTGGGTCACATGTCAGTAATAATGAACATGATAATAATAATATCATCTCACATTTGTTGAAAACACTATCATGTGCCAGCCATTGCCCTTAGCATTTTGCATGGATTTTCTCAGATAGCTTTTATGAGAACCCTGGGAGGGAGATACTGTTATCTTCCAAAGATTACAGTTAAAAAAGCAGGCATATGAAGGTTCAACAAGTTGTCTGAGGCCATACATCTAGGACATATCAGGACCGGGAGTAAACCCAGGCTATTTGGCCCCAGAGCCTGCAGGAGGTGGGCAAGGTGAAGCTGGAATCTCCTCTGCCTGATGTGAAGGGAGCAGACTAACATGGGGACATAAGTCAGTGAGTTAATGAGGGAAAGGAAAAATTCCTGGAGGTTGAAAGTCTGCCGTGAAATTGGATCAGGTCTGGACAAAAGGGTGGGGAGATGGGAGAGACAGGGGCTCAGTCACGGTGGCAGGGTTGATCAGGTGGCACCTGATGGCTGTGACTCTCGCCAGCTCAGGCTGCTCAGGAGACGGGTCCACAGTCGTTTCTGCCATCAGCATAACCTCCACGCTTCGTCTGTAATGAGGCCAAGGCTCCTCAGAATGGAGGCCCCTGGGCTCTGGACAAGCGTGAGGCATGGCCCAAAATGGAACTACTTTAAAAAGGAGGTTGGACAAGAAGAATGACCTATGCTCACCTGATGTCCTCTTATGCAAATTGGCCTAAGCCTTCTCCACAACAAACTAGGAGAAGGAAGTCAGAGGAACAAGCTGCGCTAGAAACAAAGCCTGCCCTCCGTGTAACAAGAAGAGGTGCTGAAAAAAGGGTCAAAAGGCAGCCTGTGTTTTCCTCCAGATAAATAATTGCTCCCAGATCCTTACTGAATCTATTTCCAGGAAAGACATTCTATAAAACACATTAATTTAATTTTAAAAATTATGTACCCCTTGTTGCACACCGGGCCCTCTTCTGAGGAACTGATTTATACACTTAGGAGGTAGGTTGAATTACTACCCCCACTTTCACACAGGGAAACCAAGGCACAGAGTGGCCAAAAGACATGTCCAAACTGATACAGTGAATTGGAACCAGTTGGAGTTGGTTTTCAGAGGCCACTCTCCAAGCCGTGACATTATTCTGCCTCTTCTTGGCGTTTTGGCTTTCTAATACTTTACAAAACATCTTTAATATACTTCATCTCATTGTACTCTCCACACTTGTGTGAGTAGGTGTTGTTCTACTCAACAATTCACTCAGGAAAAAGATGAGGCTCAGAGAGGTAAACATATTGCTCAGAAATCACACAGCCAGTGACTGGCAGAGCCAAGACTTGGACCTGGATCTTTGACTCAAGAGTCATGCTTTTTGCTCCCCTGCCCTGCTGCTAAAAACCTCCTCTTGATGTGAAATCTTCTTTAGATTTTTTTTCTAGAAGCATAAAAATGCAACATTTTGTCTTCTTATGTGTGAGAATATTTTTGCCTAGCTGTGGACACAATTGCACTGTAGCCCTTTCCCATTGATCACACGCTCCTAATCACCTCTTCATAGCCCGTTCTCTGCAGGACTTGGATCACCGTGCCTTTGTTCTGTATGCAATTTGTAGGCTATTGACCAAGTGTCATCCTGGCTAGAATGAACCATTGCCTGCCAGAGGGCTTCTTGCGTGACCTAGAAATAACACACGTTTTCCTCCATCCTGCTTACACCAAGAGGGCATTGGCAGCTTCCCTATCGCTGAAGGTAAATGCTCAGTCGGCTCCTGTTTCCACCCCTAAGAGAGAGGAGTGTTCAAGGTGATCTGTGCACAGACCAGCTCTCCCCAGGGAGCTCTGACCTCCTTTGGCGCTGACGCACATGCAGCATCTCACCCACCCACACTCTCCATGGCTTTGTTTTCCTGGATTTCCTACAGTATCCTGAGGGGCACACCACAAGGCCCAATGGGAGAGGTTTTATACTCACAGTTAGCTGATTTTAACCTCTTAGCCAGACACCTTTTGTACCTGAACACAAGTTTGTGTTTTCAGCAGGTGCTCAGCCCCCAGTGAAGCATGGAACTCATTCTGGCTTGCAGACTGGTCCCAGCGAGAGTTACAGTACCCCAGTCAGGTCTGAAGGCAGTTCTCTTACTCTAAAACCATCACAACCACATCAGTTTTTCTCATCCAAGGTGAAGATTGGGCTGTATAAGCAGTTTTTTCCTTAATGAGTCTTCGTCACTTGACCAAGTTCACCAAGCTGTGCGAGTTCCCTATGCTGGAAACAGGCCTGTTTTTCCTCCTGTCTTGGAGTGCCTTCCTGTCTGCGGAGGCCGCCAGCCTGACAGGTCAGTGCTTCACGGGCGCAGCAAACAGGCTGTGTGGATGTGCGTGCCCCAGGACGCACCCCTCCCTGACACAGCAGGAGGGTCAATTGAGTCCTTATACTGGTTTGTGTCACCATCAGCCCCTCCTGCGTACTCTGGGGAGAAAAAATAATAATAATTCATCCATTTTGTACACAACAGCTTAACTTAAAGTCTCCAAAACACCATTTCCTCTTCTCTCCTGGCTGGTGGGGGTTGAGGGGTGTTGAAATCTACAAATGGATAGAGGTGATGGATGACTTTACAAATGAAGTCTCTACTCAGAGTGGGAAGGGATGTACAACTGCTTTATAGAAAAGGCCGGTGCTTTTCCTTTGGCTGTTGACAGCAAGTCCCCACATAAGCAGCCTCTCTGGGTGTGCACATTTCCACACACGGTCAGCGTTTAAAACCTTTGCTTACACTCTCTGGCAGGCCAGAAAACAAGGAGCTAATGTGGCGGCACTATAGCTTAACATGTCTTACCATAGAAAATCTACATACAGAGTCCTCTGAGGTGGAGCAGTTGACAGAGAAAGGGGACGTCCCTAAGGTCCCCAGGGCCATGGATCCTGTGATCTGGATTCAGCAATTACATTGCCTTTCTGCCACATGCAGGGTTTGCACTTGTGTAGCTGCCACGATTGGGTGCTTTTCCCTGTAGAAGAATCATTGTGGCTCCCAGCGAAATGTCAAAGCCATTTCTCTCTTCTGGCCTCGTTTCCTGCTTGTCCCAGGTTTCAATCCTGGATCCTTTGCGCTCACGACATCTTGTTTGACATTCAAGTGGTGAGAATCCCCCCTGAAGTGTTAACTAATAACTAGGTCTGCCTCCGTAAGGGTATTTGCATTTTAATAGGTGGTACTTGAAATCTAAATAATAATAAAAGTGGACATATCTTGAAGGTGTAATACAAGTCAGGTGCTGGCTCACTGCCTTCATGAATGTTTAATTTACAGAAAGACTCAAAGCTGGGAGCCATATCTAGTTTACTTAACCAACAGTAAGTAGGATAGCTGGGATTTGACATTAAATTTGATTACAGAGCCTGGGCTGCTGAGCACCAAGCATTGCTACCTTGAATGAAACTCCAGGGGTGAAATATGAGGCAGGCCCTCAAAGGTAGGAAGGCATTTGGGGCCCCAGGAGCCTGCCTGGTTCACTTGCTCCTTAGCCGGTTCTGCTGTCCTATGAACATGAACTCCTTGGCAAATCTTTTGTAATGATAACTGGCAGCTGACCCAACTTACTGCAGAGCCAGGGGGACCAAGCTGTTCCCTCGGGCTTTGAGGGTGTCTGTTGCTGATACAAAAAGCCACTCTGCCAGTTATTATGACACTGTAATCGAGGCTACATTGCCAGAGTCCACCCTCCTGGGCCCTATGTCCAGATCATTCCAGCACAGTCTGTTATGTTAGGGCCTTACTTGTTATTAGGGAGCTTGCTGAAGAGCGTATGCATTACAGAGATAAAGGACACTAGTGTTCCTTAAGTGAAATAATGGAGGTAAACAATGTATATCCATCATTCAAAAAAATTGGATTTCTTTTTCTCCACATTCTATGCCCTTTTAATCACTTCACATGTTGGTCAATGAAGTGAGTAGTGTTAACAATAAGAATACATATTTGACCTTCCAGAAATGAAAAGAAGTATCTTAACTCACCCGATGTTTTTTGTCTACTATTGAACTTTGTAACACACACACACACACACACACACACACATCCTAAGAATTGTTCGTTTCTGTATGTGAAAATTGTCATCTATTTCCTGGTCCATTTCAGCAAGATTGTTTTATTTACTTTATTTATTATTTAAAGGTTACAGTCTATTTATAAATTGCTAGTTTATGGGCACCTTGCCCTTTCACTACCCTTTTCATCCTGTTATCCTTACTGGATGCCATTCAGACCACCTCTAAGGAGCCAGCCTGATGGAATGGGTGAATGCAGGTGTTGGCCTCAGTAGCAGAAAGACCCAAATGTCTGGCTGCATCCAAGGGCACACTCATTCCAGAGCAGTACTCCAGAGTTGAGCAATGGCCAGTGGGCATCAGATACAAACCAAACTCTAGGTGTGAGCACTTTCTATCGCCAAAGACCAGCCTTTTAGTACAAATTACTTATGTGTTTGTTTGTTTGTTATTTAATCCTTTCCTACTTCCAAATTGGATTTAAGACCCTTATAACATGAGCCATGTATATCACGGGACCATTTAGTTGAGGGTAAATACTCAAGTGGTTTGAGATAGAGTTTTTCTGCAAAATTAGGCATCTGTTCATTGCAGTGGTTTGGCAATAAATGTAGCCATGAGCTTTCTGGCAGGCAAAGCCAAAAGGGAAACATAATGAGTTACATAGAAATAATACAACATTATGAAAAGAAGTCATACTCATTTATAGAAATGGGCAAACTTTTTTCCTGGTACTGAAATTTTAGGGGAATTTATCACATGCTTCCTTATATAAGGACCTTTCAACACCATAATGGACAGTGTATTGAATAATAGTTTCAAAAAAGATGGAGTCATTTCTCATGAACTTTCAATAAAATCTGAGGGTGTGATATCAAATTCAATTCTCTAAGGGCATTCATGTAATGACAAAAATCCTTCTAGTTCTAATCCACAAGTAAACTAATATAATGCAAAGCTAAAATGTAAAACAACTTTTTAAAAAGTGCTTGAAGAATGACTATATGACAATGAATGTACTGAACCAAATGGAATGAGCTGTAACTCAGTTTATGAGTAACTAGAAATAACCAGCAGTCATGAGGCTTTGTATGGGCTTACTAACAACACGTCGTGTAGGAACTGGGGATGGAGTTTGTAAGCAATGCTTTCTCAACAGAATTCCCCCAGTCCTGACATTTCAAAGTGGGTACTCAAGGATGCCCACAAAATGAACAGGACTCTAGGCCTGCCGCCCCAACTTTACCCCTTTTATTGGTTCCATAAATTGAATTTTCACATGAGATTTCATTCTTAAAAAGGATTTCTGTTGCTTTAAACAAAATTCATCTGTTTTTAAGAACATATTTTTACTTTTACTACCAAAGTAATACATATACATTGTAGAAAATTTAGAAAATGCAGATTCATAGACCAAAATAAAATTAGAATTGCCTATATTCTTACTGCCCGATAGTAACTACTGTTAATATTAGTCTGAATCCATCTTATTATATCCATATAGACACTTGATTAAATAAATACATGCACACATATATGTAATTATATTTTCTTTTGAAGTAACTGTTCACTCAATAATTTATAGTGAATGTTTTTCATGACACTAAATATTCTTGTATATTATTATTTTTAATGGTGGCCTAATATGATATCATATCGACTTGCCATAATTTCTTATATTGACCTTTCATTTATAGTTTCCAATATTATTAATATAATTGCAATGATAATCTTTATAGATTGATGATGGGTTTCTGTTTACATAATTGCTTAAAAATAAAGCTGCTGGATTAATAGGAAGACTAAAAATTTAATGTCTCAGAATAATTAATCCAAATTATCCTCCAGAAAATTTGTATCCCTTTATATTTTCACCAACAAAGTAAGAGAGAGCTCATTCACTCACATCTTTACCACCCTTGTAGCATGATACCTCCAGCTTTGTTCTTCTTTCTCCAGATTGTTGTGACTATTTGAAGTCTTTTATAGTTCCATAAAAGTGTTAGGATTATTTGTTCTATTTCTGTGAAAAATGCCATTGGCATTTTCATAGGGATTGCATTGAATCTGTAGATTGCTTTGGGTAGTATGGGCATTTTAACTATGTTAATTCTTCCTATCCATGAGCACAGTATATGTTTCCATATATTTGTATCTTCTTCAATTTCTTTCTTCAATGTCTTATAGTTTTCTGAGTACAGGTCTTTTACCTCCTTGATTAAATATATTCCTAGGTATCTTATTTATTTTTTGATGCAGTTGTAAATGGGATTGTTATCTTAATTTCTCTTTCTGATTGTTAGTTATTGGTGTATAAAAATGTAACTGGTTTCTGAATATTAATTTTGTATCCTACTATTTTACTTAATTCATTTATCAGTTCTAATAGTTTTTTGGTGAAATCTTTGGGGTTCTTTCTATATAGTATTATGTTATCTGCAAATAATGGCAGCTTTACTTCTTCCTTTCCCATTTGAATGCATTTTATTTCTATTTCTTGTCTGACTGTTGTGGCTAGGACTCCCAATACTATGTATATTAAAAGTGGTGAAAGTGGACATCCTTATCTAGTTCCTGATCTTAAGAAAAATACGTTTAGCTTTTCTCCATTGAGCACGATGTTAGCTATGGGTCTGTCATATATGGCCTTTATTATGTTGAGATATGTTCCCAGTATTCCCACTTTGCTGAGAGTTTTATCATAAATGAATACTGGATTTTATCAAATCCTTTTTTGCATCTATTGATATGACCATATGATTTTTATTTTTCATTTTGTTTATAGCTGTACCACATTAATTAATTTGTGGATAATGAGCCAACCTTGCATACCAGTAATGAATCCCACTTGATGGTGGTGTATGATCTTTTTCATGTATTGCTGAATTTGGTTTGCTAATATTTGCTGAGGATTTTTGTGTCTATATTTATCAGGGATATTGGCCTATCATTTTCTTTCTTTGTAATATCTTTGTCTGGTTTTTGGAATCAGGATAATAGTGGATTCGTAAAACGAGCTTGGTAGCCTTCCCTTCTCTTGAAATTTTTGGAATAGTTTGAGAAGAATAGGTGTTAATTTTCCTTTGAATGGTTGGTAAAATTTATTTGTGAAGCCATCTGGTCCAGGACATTTGTTTGTTGGGAGTGTTTTTTATTACTACTACGATTTCATTAGTGTTTATTCTGTTTCTTCTTGATTTTGTTTCTTCTTGATTCAGTCTTAGAAGATGGTGTGTTTGTAGGAATTTATCTGTTTCTCCCAGATTGTCCAACTTGTTGACATAT